TCATGAACTAAGAAAATGTGTCCCAAATTCAGGAATGTCAAATGTTTAAAAAAAATGTGTTTTGGAAGTAATAAACTATGGTAATAAGCACATGTTTACAAAACTGAATTGTGAGCCTTATGTGGAGCAGATATTCCTAGCAATAGAATGCTGTCACAGCCTATGGTTAATGAGAAAGGAATTGAGAGTTGGTAGTGAATGGTGTGGGATTTCAGTGTTGATTTAAAATATTTTACACAACAGTTTAAGAAATGAGTGGTCTGATGTGCCATCCCTATTTAAAAAAACACACACACACACACATTAAAACAAACAAACAAACAAACAAACAAACAAAAAAACCTCTGGGGCCAGCAGGTGGTGTGCTGCTTAAGACACTGGATCCCATGCTGCATGATCAGGCTGCTGGAAGCTGGGGGTAGATCACAGCATAGGAGCCCTGTTGACAGTGCCTATCTTTCAACCTCTATCATGGTCTGTCTCTCTTATGGGATAAATAAAAAAATAAACATTTTATAAAGAAAGAACGGGAGCTGGCCCATAGCTTGGTGGTTGAGGTGGCTGGATGACACTGGACTGACTGGTAGCCTAAGAACACTTTGGGTGCATGGGCATGAATGCTCAAAATCCAAAAAGAGAGAAAAATGAAGAAGAGAATTGCATCATGACCATGCCTCATGAGGAGTACTTCTTGCTAGGCTACCACTTTCATGGCATTCCAGATCATTTCAAATCCTCTCTTCCAAAAAAAATTTTGACCCCTCGAAGACATGTTATACTCCATTATTCTCTGACTTATTTCTTTGTTTTGTATTGTTTAAGGTACCTATGAATGTATTAAAACTCTGAAATACTTTTTGGCTCACATTGCTAATGTTTACAGGACAAGAAGCTGTGGCTATGTCCTCTGCTCCATCACTGTAAACTCTGTATGAGGAAAATGCCTACCACTCCGTTGGTGCTCCATATGTAAAGAATAAATATTTGAATCAGCTTAATTGACAAATATGACGTTAAAGATAAATGCAAAAATGTTTTAAAAAATGACATTGGATCCCACATAACTGATTCTATGGCTGGAGTCCTGGACCCAGTGGCTTGAAAAATTACATCAGGCACAAGTGCATGCATGCCCAAAATCCCAAGAGGAGAATGGAGAAAGGATTGCAGTGTGGCCATCCCCCCTGGGGGTGATTTCTCATTTTTCCTCTCTCTGTCTGTCTCTCTGGTGAGCGCATGTACCCTATGTCAAAAATCTAAAAAACAAAAAACAGAAAACAAACAAACAAACAACAACAAAACACCTCTACAGCCAGTCCTGTGGCCTAGTGGTTAAGAGAATCAAATCCCACATGGCCAACTGTGCAGTTCAAATCTTGACCTCGGCAGCCTGAAAAACACACCAGGCATGTGTGTGGGGACCCCAAATCCTAAGAAGATAGAAAATCAGGTACTAATGCAACAAGTAAAAGTGATTACAGAGATAATGGGACAGAGTATTAGTGTCTGTTTTGATTCTATTCAGTCCATTGCTGTTCCAATCTGTCCATGAAGAGGAGCAGTATATAACTGGCCAGCTTTCTCCTGGTGTATTTCAGCCCTGCTTTTATATGGATGTGGTCCCTTTTCAGTTATGAAATGCTGGCTCTGTAACCTCAGCTTCTCCTTGGTCCTCTGGAGTTGATCATTGTACATTGTTTTTCTGGCTAGTGTTTGAACTGAGGCTTTCTATAGGACCTTGCTGGGTCCCACGTTGTCTCATCAAGAATCTGGATTTCAAGCCTCACCACTGTGGTACAAGTGGTAGGGTGCTGCTGTGTGTGATGCTGGAGCCATATAGAAAGGCCCAGAGTTCAGATCCCAGGTTGACCTGAACACACGGGAGTGCCATGATCCTGGCTGACTAGAAGGCTGGGGGTAAGATTACAGTGTGACAGGAACCTATCAGAGATCTCTTTCTCTCTCAATGAATATGTGTTTATTTAATTTTATTTATCATTATTTTTTAATTTGACCAGAGAGAGAGAGAGTCAGAAAGAGGAGGAAAGAGAAAAAGTAAGCCACCAGGTCCAGGACTCAAACTATGGTTGCCCATGTGGGAGTCCAGCACCTTAACCACCATGCCACTTGACAGTCCCAATGAATAAACTTTTTAAAAAATCAATATTCCAGGGTACCAGCAGGTGGTGTAATGGTTACATCACAGGACTCCCACATAGTTGACTGTGGTTCAAGTCCTGGACATGGCGGCTTAAAATTCATGCTGGGCACGTGTACACATGTGCCCAAAATCCCAAGAGGAGACTGGAGGAGAAAGGACTGTGCCATAGCCATTCCCCTCATGGGGGTGATTTCTCACTTTTTGTCTCTGTGTCTCTGGTGATACATAAGCCGTATAGCAAAAATCTCTCTTAAAAAAAATCTATATTCCAGTTCCATCCTAGAAAGATACTCCCCCCACCTCCCTCTCCAAAAAGACACATATATCTCAGAGCTGGGCTAAGCCAAACAGCTCAGTTCTCTAGACCTTCCTCCACCGTATTCTTGTTCTGCTCACCATGAAAGATCAATGAAATTGTCACCAAAAACCTTAAATGCATGGTTGGTTGACAAAAAATCTCTTGGACTAAAAGTTCTTAGAAAATAGAATTATACCGAGAGGACTGAGCCTAATGACCTAATACAACATGAAATACTATAAAATATTTTAGCAGCTCTGGACACGAGCATTCAAGGAATGAGGCAGAACAAAGGTGTAGTTTTTAAGGGAGTGATAAGGAAGAGAGTCAAACAAGGGAAGAATCCCTACTTGGCAAGGTAGCCAGTGACCACCAAAAGCCTCAAAGTCATCTTCCCCTTTGAGGCAGCCTGCCAGTGCCTCAGTTAAGTTTTTCAGGACTAAATCACAAAGCTTCAAAGATGATCAGCTTCCAATTTAGTCCTATATTCCCAGACCAGTTTGTCTCCCTTCAGTGCCTTCCCCCACCTTAATGAGTAAAGAGGAAACAAGAGAAAGGAGGAGAAATAACTTCATTTACTGCCTCGACTGCATTACTCTTAATAGTATTGAGAGATGTGCGAACAATGAAAAGGAGCCTGATTATGTTTCCTTTAAAAGGCGATCCTCTAAGTAAGCCCCCCAAAGTATTAGAACTGAATGTATCCAATGCCATAGGAGTCTTACTTCCTCACTGGCAAAGTTACACTTGCAAATAAAACCACTGAGATAAGTCACAGAAGATTGGAATGGAACAACATCTTAATGATAGTTCTGTTCCTCTCTCTCCCTTTCTTTTTCAAAAAAAAAAAAAAAAGTCACAGCTTTTAGGTCTAGAAGGTTCATTAACTAGTTAATGGCAGAGCAGGTATTAGAATGCAAGTGTCCTGACTCCCAGTCTGGAATTTCCCTCTCAGGAAAGATACCTAAAACCTTTACAATGGTATCCTATTCTCATAGTCTGTGATTACATTTGCTTCATTGGGCTAAAAAATACCATGCAAATAGAGCTCCAATTACAAGAAATTTTGATGACGATACAAGTAAATGCCCAGAATCAGCTGACCATCACTTCTACCAAAAGACTGAGGCTGTACATTTTTACTCTTTGTAAGTCTAAAACAAAGTGTCACTGCCTGAGCGCCTTACGGGCTGGATTACAGTATAAATCAAACCAGCTCAGTAAAAGCTTATCTAGATGACATTCCACACCTTCTACCGCGGTCCTGGCCAGTTAGCAATGTAAGCTGAGCAAGGAGTTTAGAAATCTCCCCCCACGCTGCTTGAATTTTGGAAGAACTGTGTAAACAACGCCCCTTGCTGGTCAACATAAGAAAATGCAAAAGCCACCACTGAGAAACGCAGGGCTCAGGCAAAGGTCACAGCAATGTCTCTAAGTCGTCATTTAGTCTATGGGAACTGTGGCTAGGTCAAAGGAAAAAGCATGGGGAAAACAGCAGGGGGAAGAAAAAGAGTGCATTTTTTTCCTGGAATGTTTATATACGCCTAATTAATGTTAGACCCCAAAGAAAGCAGATACATTTTTGGTAACCTATTGAGTTTGAACAAGCAGCTACAAGACCTACAACATGTTATGCTTAGACACATAAACTAGATTTTTATTGTTAATGTCAATGAACACAGATCTACATGTCAAGGACATATTGCTCATGAGATCACAAAATGGCTGTTGATTTGCATTAATAAATGATTTGTTTAATTACTATGATTTTTCTTAGTTTTTTTTTTCCTTTTTTTTTTTTTTTGCTATAGGGCTCATGTGCTCACAGGAGAGAGACAAGGAGAGGTATATATAGAGAAAGTGAGAAATCACTCTCCAGGGGGATAGCCAAGGCGCAATTCCTTCTCCTCCATTCTCCTGTCAGGATTTTGTACATGCAAGCACATGCTTGCCTTTCCAGTTGCTGGGTCCAGGACTCGAACCACAGAGTTGATCATGTGGGATCCAGCCATCTTAACCTCCAAGCCACCTGCTGGCCCCATCACTATGTGTTTTTAAATTTATTTATTTCTTCCACAAGAGAAAGAGAGAGAGAGAGAGAGAGAGAGCGAGCAAGCGAGAGTGAGCGATACATCCCCGACAGGATCCCCACACCAAGATTTACCCCCAGCCTCCACCACCCTGGATCATGGCATGCATAGTGACGCATTCGGATGTGCACCTGAGACTCTCAAGTGGGTCTAGCTGTGCCACCATCTGGACCCAAATCATTATGTGTTTTTTCTTAATGAAATGTATGTGTGTGTGTGTGCGCGCGCACACACACACACACACACACACACACACACACACACGTATAATTTCTGCAACTTCATTTCCATTTGGACACCTGTAATAACTTCAGTAGAAAGAAAACACTGAAGCTTTAAAGTTAATATCTGCATGTTGTACAGATATTCTGATTCACTAAAACGAAAATCACATTCTATTACACACGTTTTAAGCAGTACGCAAAGAAAATACAATAAACACTGATTTGGCTCAATGACTTGCCTAATGAAAGGCTTTTTTTTTGTTTGTTTTAAAAAACATCCTCAGTAAAGCTGTCCAGGGTACTTGATGATGTCACCGCTGAAGCAAAGTTTTTTCTAAGCAGCTCCAGGGCTCTGTTATTTTTTGCTTGCAGGGTCTTTTCATCTCTGAGTTCATCCCTGATGGCATCGATCTCTCTGCGGATTTTTTCCATTTCTAATTGATGATACAATTTCATTTCTTCTTTGAGGAGTGCATTTCCCACTTCTGTTTGCCGCTTTAATTTTCTAACAGCTTCTTTTAAATCTCTGTTCTCCAGGTTCAACTTATGGATGACTTCTTTGGCTTGCTGGAGCTCTTCAGTTAAGTATTTAACATCTGTTGCTTTTTCAGACAAATCATTTCTTAAAGCTGGAAGATCTGTGTCATCTCTTGAGGTGTCTGTCCCTATTTCCTGAAAATTAAGGAATTTTATGGAGACTTCTTTTTTGGAGTTCAAAAGTTCTTTCTCAGCAGTTTCGAATTCTTCTTCTATTTTTCGGCATTTCATATTAAGTTCTTCCAGTTCTTCGTTCAAAAGATTCAGGCGAAGTTTTGGAGACATGCCTTCAGTAAATTTCTTCTTCGTGTCTGGTCGTGGTAGAGTTGGTAATTCCTTTGTACTCCAGAGAGAGTGGGCTTCTGTGCTGTTAAAGCTTTCTTCAGTTGTAACATCCAGATGAAATTATTAACAGGAAGTGGAATTTGGGTCTGCTTCTTTCTTTGAAATGTTGATCTTTCTCTCTCTTACATTTGGTTCTTGGTCTTTTTCATTTAATTGGGGAACATAGTCTTTCCGCTTAAATTTATTCAGTTCTTGAAACTTTCTACTGGACCAATGATAAGCCCCTTCCATTCTCTTGGTCCTGTCTTTAGTACTTCTTTCAGAAGAAGTTTCAGACTGAGAAACTTCTAGAACATCCTGTGCACTAAAAAAAGGAGTAAAAATATTCTCTTTCCAGTGCTTTCTTCTAGCATTCATGTCTTCAGATATCTCTTCCAATTCCTGAAAAAGAAAATTTAAAATTCAGGCCCTTTTTTTCCCCTTAAAGAATTATTTATTTATTTAATTCCATTTGCTATTTATTATTTTTAATTTGACCAGAGACAAAAAGAGAGAGAAAGGGAAAGCGAGAAAGCAAGCTGCCAGGTCTGGGACTCGAACCATGGTCAGCCATGTGGGAATCCAGCACCTTTAATCACCAAGCCATCTGCTGGCCCCTTCAGGCACAGTTTTGTACTGGAAGCTAGTATACTAGAAAGAAGTAAATACGCTGGCTTTCTGGTGAAGGAGCCTAAACATTTGAAGGCTGGCTCTTCCTCTAACTCACTGAGCTACTTGGACTTCAGTTCTCTATTTATAAATTGAAAGGGCTGAACTAGCAAAGTTCTACAGATGCTTCCAGCTTTGAAGTCTTTCAGTCGTATGAAATACAACCAGCAAAATGACACAGTTAGCTGTTTATTGTAGACAGAGAAAGTATTGTATGAAGAAGCAACTGTACACATGAAAAATCCCTGCCTTAAAATAATAAGAGTGATGTGAAATTAGTTATTATTGTTAATACCTAGGTTTTCAATGTGTCTTATTTTTTTCTAGTTCTTTCAGACTGGACTACAATTCATTCATTCTTTAAAGTGACTAACGCATCAGGGCTTAATGCAATGTGAGCTGCTTTTGGTAAAGTATACCATGCAGACTTCCTTATGACTCTCTCTGCCAAATGCCCTTCTGTCTTGACCTATAAATTCCTGCTATTCCAGTCTTGAGCTTTGTTTTTAGGCAAGACTGCCAAGTGTACAGAATTCTATCCGTTTTGACAGCAATTTCTTGATGAGGACTTAATGTCAACAACTGAAAATATTAATGCCACCAAACATGTTCTTCCCAAGATACTGAGTACAGTTTAGTGTTAGGTGAAAGCTTAGCAAACTAAACCAGAACCAGCTTTCCAAATTTATAAAAATTAGAGGATTATTTTGTTTGAACAAGAATCTTCCCTGTTCAAAGGGAATCCTTAACAGAACTTGGCTAAAGCACTGAAATATTTGGTCAGTAACTACTTCTGAGGAAAGGTAGAAAGAAGAATCCAAGCAACATGTTGAAGGGTCTGGTAATAAGAAATGGCAAATCTGGTTTTTTGTTTGTTTTTTGTTTGTTTGTTTGTTTGTTTAGAGAGATTTTTGCTATAGGCCATGTGTGCTCACCGGAGAGAGAGAGAGAGACAGAAAGCAAAAAATCATCCCCCACCCTCGAGGTGGGGCATGGCCATGCCGCAATCCCTTCTCCTCCATTCTCTTCTCAGAATCTTGGGCACATACACACACGTGCCTGGCATGAACTTCAAGCCTCCAGGTCCAGGACTTGAACCATGGTCAGACTCCATGTGGGAGTCCAGTAACATAACCATGATGCCATTTGCTGGTCCCGTGTTTTATTTTTGTTGTTTTTGTTTTTGTTTTTCATGAAAAATTTCTTTGATTATTTGCAGCAGTTTTGAAGAATACAGAAAAGTACACAAGTGGAGGCCAGCAGGTAGTGTGGTGGTTGAGGTGCTGGACTCCATGTGGCTTACTGTAGTTCAAGTTCTGGACTTGGTGGCTTGCCTTCTCAGTCTCTCTCTCTCTCTCTCTCTGTCTCTCTTTGGTCAAAATGAAGAATGGTGATAATTAAATTAAATTAAATTAAATAATTCTTTAAAAATCTAAAGAAACGAGCATGTGCACGCATGTGCACACACACACACACACACACACACACACAATCTTCACACACAATCTTCATAATGCTATGACCGTGAGATAGCTACTTTTTGGTGTATTATTTCTCCAAGTCTTTTCTTTTCAGCAGTAGTTTTGTTTTTGTTTTTGTTTTGTTTTTTGAGAGTTATTATTATTTTTTTTTTGCTATAGTGTGTGTGTGCTCGCCAGAAAAACAGAGAGAGACAGAGAGATAGAAAGCGAGAAATCACCCCCCAGGGGGGATGGCCACGCCGAAATCCCTTCTCTTCCATTCTCCTCTCAGGATCTTGGGCACACACGCACACACACCCGGCGTGAATTTAAGCCACCGGGTCCAGGACTCAAACTGTGGTCGGCCACATGGGAGTTCAGTGACATAGCCATTATGCTAACTGCTGTTCCCAGCAGTAGTTTTAATAACACAGTTTCCTTGCTACAAGAGAGGAAGGAATAAACTTGATACCAACACATACTTTATTGGCCTCTCCGCCAAACCCCCCCAAAAGAGGGGAAGGACTCACTATCCCCAAGGGTACATCCCTATTGACAATTACTTGACTTTGAGGAAAGAGGAAAGTACAAATTCTTAAAATGAACTCTTTAGAGATGAGGATTCAGTGAAGGTATTAAAATGACTGACTCAAAAGTCATAAGACAAGCTTTACTAAAATTTAGTCAATCAGATCACAGTAATAAACTCAGATTTGAAATTCATCGTATGTATAATATTTATCACTGGAACATCATCTTTCACTTTTAATAATCCTTTCTGATTTTTATTATTCTACTAGTCACCAACCCAAAGCAACTCTGATTTACCCATTCTTGAAGGGGAAGATGACCATAATTGTGGTTTTCCTCCTCTCTAGAATTATAAATGCAAATGAATAAGAATTATTATAGAAATCACAAAGGAAAGGAACAGAGACAGGAGAAAAGAGAGTGATGCTAATTGTCAGTTAGTTTTTAGCAGTCGAGTTTTTATTAGGCAGTTCTATAAAAGATAAAAATACTTCTAATCAGGGAGTAATGGCAAATTATTATTTCTTCTACCTAATTCTAGACGAAAGGCATTAATGGGATTGATTCTGGAGGAAGCGAGTGCAGGGGCAAAAGGAAGGTTATACCAAGAAAGAACGATAATGACACATCTGAGATAGAGGTCTGGGTATAGGTAAAAGTGAAAATAAAGAACTCTTTTCACAGATAATTTTGCTTTTTGAAAAAGTGACTTCTATATCCAACCCTCCCCCCATAAATCTCTGGCAAAACACACCTGAGCATACATGAGCTCACACACACACACACACACACCATAATGAAGGGCCACTGGTATCTGAGGTCACCAAACTGGTAACTACGGTCACCCCTAAAGGGTGGGAAGAAAGAAGAGATTGCTTTATTAACTTTATACATTAAATTACTGTAATGTAGTTGTAGTGTCATCACTGAGAAAAATCAAACTATATATGTCTGTTTTACCTAGACACACACACACACACACACACACACACACACACACACACACACACTTTTAATACAACCTTCCTTCCCTGAGCCTCTGTATAATACCTGGATATCTGAAAGAAATGTCTTTCTAGGAACCCTATGCAACTAATATCTTTCTTTCTTTCTTTCTTTCTTTCTTTCTTTCTTTCTTTCTTTCTTTCTTTCTTTCTTTCTTTCTTTCTTTCTTTCTTTCGTTTCTTTCTTTCTTTCTTTCTTTCTTTGAAGAGGTTTTTGCTATAGGAGTGTACACTCACCAGACAGACAGAGAGAGACATAGAGACAGAAAGCGAGAAATCACCCCCCAGGGGGGATGCCCACGCCACAATCCCTTCTCCTCCATTCTCCTCTCGGGATCTTGGGCACACACGCACACGCACCTGGCATGAGTTTAAGCCACCGGGTCTGGGAGTCAAACTGCGGTCGACTATGTGGGAGTCCAGCGACATAGCCATTAAGCCAACTGCTGGTCCTGCAACTAATACTTTTCACAGAACTGGGACGAGTCTACTTATTTTGTAACTAAGGCTCATAGAAATTAAGTGACTTGACTAAGGCCACATAGTCTATACTGATAAAATTGCTAAACCATTCCTTGGATCAGTGCTTGTTCTAAAATTCCTCTTTATTCATCTTCTAGGCTTCACTCCACAAATTGAAAGAAAATAATCCATTATTTTCAGGGCCTAGGTATCTTTTGAAGGGCCACAAAAGGAGAGAGAGGAAAAATGAAGTGGGGAAGGTAAGGAGAGTGGCATGTCACAAATCAAAGGAGAGAAGGAGAAAGATTTGAAATGCCTTTTGGAATTCCCTCTCAAGGCTTACACAGAGCAGGGTCAAGAGGTCTCTGAGCTGCCCCCTTTCTCCTCCCCTCTTTCATTGGCAAGATATCATTTAAGGGCTTGCTCTTAACAATCTAGACACAGACTATGGTAAAGCCCAGACTGGAGGTAAAAGCTGCCAGTCTCATTTTCTCTTCACAAATTGCACTGTATGTTTTTTTTTTTATGCAGAACAAGTCTGGCATTGGTTTTCTCTGGCACAGACAAGAAATCTACTTTGAAACAATGACCCTTCTCTACTCTGGCCTGGCAGCCATTTTGTTTTCCATAAACTTGGTTAGGTTCTTTGTTGCAGTATAAGGGAAACCAAACCAGAAGCCATTCTTGAAAGTGTAAGTATGTCTTATTAGCAGGTCAATTGTGAACATTTATCACAAGTGTCTAGCCAACACTACATTGGTACTAAAGGATTGAAGGGTAGAGAATGGGGATCCAAGGAAATGAAACATCTAAGGGAACAAGTAAGCCAGAACCTGTACAGACAGGAAAACAAAGTCATATGACAAAATAATTTTGGTGGTCCTCTAAATCAGTGGTCTTCCCAGACCTCTTTGGAATTGCACTGATATGGCATGGATGACTATAATATGACAACATCTATTCACTGATATCTGGCATGAATTAATAACGGACCCCTGATCATTCTAGTTAGTGTCTCACTGAAAACATCACCATTCATCCTCTGGTGACTGTTTTCATTTTCCAGTGGCAAAGTAGCGGAATATTTTTGTTCCATAAGGGATATCTTGTCTCGTGGAAGTAGCTTATAGTCACCTAAAGGACTTCAGAATCTGCCCGCAATTCAAAATAAAAAATTAAATATAATTTTTAAAAAAAGAATTGGGAATCACTGAAAAGATAAATTGAAAATGAAAATGGATCAAGGACCTAGACATAAAACCTGGAACTATAAAAC